CAGGAATCACGTCACGAGGGTTTCATACCTAATATTCAGTTGTTACTTCATGCACCGTCCTGTTTCAGCCAGGACTGATGTGGTCACCAGTTGGTTTCTTCCTCCATCTAGAACCAGTACTCCTCTTGTTCCTGTTCTGTTCTTTTTTTTTTTTTTCTGTAAAACATCTCGTGACTTTTTTATTTTTTTGCCTTAAACAGTAACAGTTACACACAGTGAGTAGTGGACAGGTCAGAAGGCTATTATTGAAGCTGATTGGAGGGGTTTCGTCATGTGACATTTCTGTGAGATTATCTTGCAGACAGACATGAGGACGAGCGTTCGTCCTGGTTTTCATCGTCTAAAGGTTGATTTGTCCGATGTCTTTAGGCTGGGCCCTGAAGTGCTCTTATGGTGCATTCACGGTTGCTGCACTTTTGTGCCATCCTGAAAACTGCCAACTGTTTGTCGTCCAAACGTCACTGCTGCGTTCTTCATGATCCTCCAGTCTTCATGGTGTAACCATGGTGAACCCACAGATATACATATATTTATTTGGTTTGTATTGCGCTAACTTTGGCAAACCTTTTCTATACATAATCTGATGTAAACAAATCGTCCAGGATCTGATGGTGTGAATTAAAAAAAGAAAAATCCATGGTTGCTGACCAAGGTGCTGAACATGGGGACTCATCCTTGCTTGATTTCTCTGATGGACTCTACTCTGAGGAGTAAGGCCTTGAAGGTGGGCCGCAGCTTGGGGTCTCCGCTCCAACACTCTGACATGATGTTGCAGATCTGAGGGAAGTAGAAGACAAAGAGGAACCATAAAAAAAAAATTTAAACTGGATTATATTTTTAAAGTCCATTGTTAAAGCTGATAACTGGCTGCTGTTAATGCTAATGCTAATGGTAGTCTTCCAGCTTATGTCCTCTGCCTCATGGTCACACCTGCCTTCTACTCTCCACTAGAGTAGAAGGCTAACCAGCGTAGTATATATCTATGCAGGTTTGACTGAAGAGGAGGTCAAAGGTTGGTAGGATCGCAGTAACGCTGCTAAAGGTGGCTCTCTGCTGTGACTGACCTCCTGTGGACAGTTGTCAGGAGTGGGCAGCCTGTATCCCTGGCTGAGCAAATCTATCAGGTGGTAGACGATCATCTGTCCCTGCTTTTCATTTCCCATCTTCTCCATAAACACCTGGAACGTCGAGACAAAAAACAAAGTCAAACTTTCGACCGTCAACAGTGTCGATGGTTACAGTGAGCGGCTCCTCGTCATCAGCTGAAATAGACTAGTGTTTGGTGGCTCTCACTGCTGGGGGGCTGCAGCTCTTATCGCTGTAGGTGAAGAGTTCGTAGAGAACGACGCCAAAACTCCAGATGTCCGACGCCACGGAGAACTTACTCTCTGTCAGCGACTCCGGAGCGTACCTGCAGAAACGTAACACGACACAGTAAATACACACACTGCTGGAGAAAACACCAGTATCTAAGACAAGGCGGAGACCAAATCCATTCCTTTCATCTTAGTAAGTTCAACGCTGGTGAAAAGTTTGGCAAAGAGTTTCCAAACTTAGAACAATATGAAAGGAGTTTCAACATTCATTCATGTCCAACATGCAGCAGGCCATCCTCACCAGAAGATGGGGCTCTCTCCAGGTTCCCTGACGGTGTAGTACTCTTTGTCCTGCGGCAGCATCTTGGTCAGGCCAAAGTCACCGATCTTCACCCTCATCTCACTCTCCACCAGGATGTTCCTGGTGGCCAGGTCTCTGTGGATGTACCGCTTCAGGGCCAGGTAGTCCATGCCCTGTCACACAGAGGGAGGGAGGGAGAGAGAGAGTGAGTGAGTGAGTGTGAGCTGCCAGCATCTGTGGACCTGGTCTGTACCCAGTCCCTACAACACCTTGCAGATCTGCGATGCGTAGTGCAGCAGTTTCATGGAGTCAAAGTGATCCTTGTGTTTGATGAGATAATCCCTGAGGCTGCCGTAGGGGAGGTACTCCATGACCAGCCGCAGGTTCCTCCGACCTGTCACCAGAAAAGAGGACAGTGGTCTCCGCATCGTTCTGGGACAGAGACGGAGACGTCAGACGTCGTCCACTTACCCGCGCTGTAGCAGACCCCCTTGTACTTGACGATGTTTTCGTGCTGCAGTGACTTAAGGATCTCGATTTCCCTCTCGAAGTCCCTGATGTGCTCATCGGTGCTGTGCTGCAGTTTCTTCACGGCCACCACCTCCCCAGTGCTGTCCTGCAGGGGGTCGTACCTGCACATCTCCACGCTGCCGAAGTTCCCCTGCAGCAGAGGGTCCATGGTGAACACGATGACGAGGGAAAAAGAAGAAAACGCAAAAGAAAAAGCAATGACGTGATTGGCTAACGATTGACTAACGTATTGACAACGTATGTGAAAACCATTACAAAGACTTTTCTGGTCTAGCTGCTGACAGCAGGCAGACAGGGGGCAGTATAGCACCTACCATGTCTGAAATCAATCCGATAACCACTCTTACTGCACTAGTTACTACTACTACTACTAAAACTAAGTTATTTTTGGGGAGGGATGTATTTACTTATGTAACTTAGTAAACCTTTAGCTATTTCCATGCTAACCTTTTGTTTAGACAACATACCATTTAGGTTTGACTCAGTAACTAGTTATCTTTCAACTACCAATCAGCTGTGTTTTATGTATTTGCATTGAATATCTTGTTATCTTTTGTTTTTGTGTACATTTTTTTTTTAGCTTTTCGCTTGGGGACAAACATTTACTTTTACAGTTTATTTACTTATCTTTCTTTTAGTTTTTCTCTGGTATCAGTTTTGCCAACAGTTTTAGCTAGCAAATATGATAGCTAATTGACACAATTAGCTATTTCATCAATGTTTCTGGCTAACTTCCTGTCTGTGTTTCACATTTGTTTTGCAATGACAATCTAAGTCATCATTTACTTTAAAATGTACTTGATCTATACAAACTGGATATGAAAGAATTCCCAACTATCTGTATCCCCATGGCCACCTAGTGGGGCAGTGAAGTATTGTGGTTGCCCCACATCTGTGCCTGGCTGTACCACCAGGGGGCTCATTACCTATCTTGATCATCAAGGAAATGTTGTTTGACATGTGACAACTTGTTGTCTAACCTCACATCCTCAAACAGAGTGGTTCTCAAAATGGGGGCTGCGCTCCCCATATGGGACGCAAAGCCATGCAATGGGGGACTTTTGCTTTTTTCTGAGCTTGCCGTAAAAGTGGTGAAATTCAAATTAGAAGAAGCAGTATCTCTGTGGTGTGTGTGTGTGTGTGTGTGTGTGAGGTCTCACTTTGCCAAGCTGCTTCAAAAATATGAGGTGCCTCTCCTCAAACTGGGCCGGCTCCTGGTTCTCAGAGGCCCAGGGGAAACCCAGACCCCTCGTCCTGTGGGGTAACATGTCGCTCTCCACCAGCAGCTCATAGTCTGCGATGACAGAAAAATACTCAGACTAAAGTCATCTGCACGTCTACACAGACTGACAGCTCTCTGCTGGGAGCTGTGTCTACCTGGTGTGAAGAGACTGTTGAGGTCTCTGATGACCGCTCTGAAGGACGGTCGGTTCAACGGCTCATAGTCCATACAGCTGTTGATCAGATTGGCCAGTTCTGTCCACTTAGGAGCCGGCAGCTGATGTCTGTCCACGTAGAACAGTTGTTTCTGTAGAAGACGGAGGTCAAAGTGAACGAAAGGAAATGTGAAGTATGATCTTTAAAAAAAAAAGCCTTGGATTATATTCAAGTTGTACAAATGCTGTTTATACTCCGTCATGGCTGCAGAGGGCAGGTGTGTGTACAGAGCAGAGGACAGACTGAGGGACAATGTGTTCAAGGGCTTTTGTTCAGGTCTCTGTGAATATGTCTGTAGGACGGCAGATAAAATAAAAGTTGAGTATGTCTTCCTTTTTAAAAGAAGTTTGGTCCGGCTCTGTAACGGTTTGGGGCTGCATTATTAGCCTAGCATTCTTTGCTGGCTTGAAATGAGTTGTTCTTAATATTGATATTTCAAGTTGAGGAACTACAGTATATTTAAGTGTCTCTGCAAAATGTGTGTAAATAACAAAAGAGTTGCAACCATGCCCTTAAAAGGAATTTAAAAAAAAACAAGATGGTGTCCAACAATTACAGCAATCACTGTTTAGTAGAAAACAGTTGAACTATGCCTTTATTACAGATTATTTTTTGTACACACTTCGTATTATATATGCCGTTGTATGGCCTTACGGTTTACCTTGGAGCTGTCCAGAGTGCTGAGTGGTTTGTCTCCACCACTGCATATCTCCCACAGCGTCGTACCGAAGCCCCACTTGTCTGCAGCCAAAGACAGGTTCTGGGCGTTGTCGATGCACTCGGGGGGCACCCACGGGATACGCTCCAAGAGAACTACAGAGTACGATACCATACTTTGAACTGGATCACAAACATCACTCTGAATCGTGTTGGTTTGTGGAGACGTGGCTCTGACCTTCTCTGGGCAGAACAGTGATGCTGATGCCAGGGTCACTGAGTTTGATGAAGGGCAGACTGCCCGTCCTTTTGTCCTCCTCTCTGATCAGCAGAACATTTTTGGCACAGACGTAGCCGTGTACGAGATTCTTCTCCTCCTGTGTGCGAACATGACGAAATATCACAGAGATATGAGTTTGTTTTTTTTTTTTACGTCAGTGTACCGCGTGTGTACGGCAGGTCAGGGTGTTACCAGGTAGAGCATGGCCCAGGCCAGTTGTTTGGCCACTTCCAGCTTCCACGTGATGTTGATGCAGCTTTTGTTCTTCTTCAGATAAATGTCCAGAGAACCAAATCTGCCAAAGTCCTGCACCATCATGTCTGACCAACAGAACAGACGTTACAGTTCAGCAGCGTAGAATTCAGCAGCGCTCACTGTTCTATTTTACTACACTTGTTTTAAATAATCAAACAGTAATGAAGAATAACTCAAGCTAAGACTCTGAGTCCTGGAGACTCAACTCTGACTTTTTCTGTTTCGACTTGGACTTGTAATTGCAGGGACTTAACTCTTTTCTGGACTCTTTCTAAAAACATTTTTCACTGTCACTTGGAAGCTACCACTATAGACTATTGGACTGACTAGAACTGCAGAGATACAGGATCTGAATTCACGTCATTCCGGTTCCTTGATATTTTGGAATCCAGACGAGGGCCAGCGGGCCACATCTGACCCCCCGGCCACCAGTTGATGATCAATTCATTGTCCTGCAGCGTCTGTTTATTTACAGCTCCAAACCTCATACTGCACTTGTTAATTCTTTGAGCTCAATCCCGACCAGGTGAAAGGTTAAAGCAGGTCAACATAAGTCAATAGGTCAGGACCTCCTTACTTCCTGTCTGTTAGATTCACAGCATCGATTCCTTATATTTCCGTTTGTCTTTACACGCGCTGACTGATTGGTCAGCATCGCCGTCGCAATAATATTTCTGTTTATTCTCTAACAATGTGTGTGTGTGTGTGTTACAAACGTACTCTCATCCCCACAAACGCAGACGCCGTAGTTGAGAATGAGGTGTTTGTGCGAGAGCTGGCTCATCATGCTGGCTGCTTCAAAGAAGGACTGGTGGAAGAGAGAGGTTTCTGTTAATGAGGATCAGAATGGCTGGCTGCCGCCTCCACACAGACACACCAACCTCTGAGTAGTTGCGGTGAGCCTTGTCCAGGATCTTGATCACCACTTCAATCTGATGGAGCTCTCCGTAGTCTCCCAGCTCCTTCCTCACACCTCGAAAGATCTTGGTGAAGGTTCCTTGGCCCAGACTCTCACTCTAAACACAATGATACATTGTGACACACAGATAGATGGATAGACATAGATATTTGTCAAATGTGTTAAATGCTGCAATCCAGCACTTCCTCAGGACCACAAAGGCCCAACTAGCCCGGTGATAGTCAGACACTCCAATGTTCAAAACAGGAAGTTTAACGTGTGAAGACGAGCTAAACTTTGTGCTAAGTGCTGTGGTTTTCCTGTGACAGACACACTGTTCTAGATTTCACACTTCCAGACATAACGTGAAGAAGATGAGGCGAACACTGGGGTATCAACATGAGCAGCAGTCACAGAAAGTCACTGAGGGACTGAAGCTGATGACCCCGCTCTACCGCAGGTCGATCAATTTGGGGAAGTCTTTAATGCTAATTGCAGTGACCGCGGTGACCTTAGATCGATCCGGCTGGTCCTCTGTTTGAATCAAAACCTTGGATAATCAGAGTCCCTCTCGATTCGTTCGTTGTCTGGACCCTGGGCCTAGACGTGTATACAGTGTCTGACTATATTTAGAATCCTTCGTGTGATCATTGTCTCGTCCTCTGTAGTGTGTCAGACTAAGGTCAGATCAACAGATCAGAGCGTCACACGCAGGTTTACTCACTATGATGAGGTCCTCTTTCCGGATCTTGTGAAAGACCATCTGACTGATGTGTGTGTGGAGAGATGGAGACAGGGAAACCTCTGCCCCCTGGTTGTTTCTGCACACTAGCAGGTTGGATTTCTCTGGAGAGTGGGGGAAAACATCGGAGAATCAAAGTGTGATCATCAGAGAAGCTACGTCAATTTCCGTTATTCCATAAAAGCCATAATGGATTATACTTTATTATATTTATATACTTTATTCCATAAAGGAGCTTATGTAAAAAGGCTAATGCTTTAATTATATGTAGGTGTACGGGTGTTTACTCTGCTGGAGACTCAGTAATGTGCTCATGAGTCATGGATGAGAAGCTCTGAGAAGGCTGAAGTGCATTTTATTTGAAGTGCAGCGAGGCAAAGCTAATAGGCTGCTTGTTCGACTCTAGAAAAACACGTGGACCACGTTTAAGCTGCAGGTGAAGAGAATTTTTTTTTTCTTTACGTATACAATCCCTCTCCTTATAAATGCAACACTAACTTGACCAATGCTGGTAGATTTGCTTAATGCCTTATTCCTCCCTACAGGCCTAAAATAACACTACAAATCCGCTGCAACATGAACTGTTTCCTTTTGAACTCATTCGCTTTAAAACATCAATAGGACACGTGCTTTGTAGAGGAAGTCACCGACCTTTGTTCTCTTCACTCAGGTCTGACTTCATTTTTGTTCATAATTAACCTAAAATCAAGCCTCAAATGTCCAGTTAAATATCTTGTTTAACTTGTTACAGGTTTTAATGAACCAGAAACCCTCTTTGATGCAGTGGTACCCAAAGTTTGTCTGCAGTGCCCCCTGTTGTAGATAGGTCAATTGTTGAGCCCGCCCCCAACATATCAATAACATATCAATTTTCCCACAAATAAAAAAATATCATTGCAACATTGCAATCGCTCTGCACCCTCGAGGTGGGACTTCCCCTTCTAGGGGAGCCACCATTGGTTTCAAATAGGGAAACAAGGTGTCATAATCAATATTTATGTTATTGTTTTACTTCATGTTTATTTTAGTACAAGGAGGCTCAGCCCATTTCTGTATGTGAACGCTAACCTTTAGAACTGGGAGGGCAGCACCGGGTCAGCTGAAAGGTGTATCCGTCTGTGCGCAGCACCTCCTTTTCATAGCAGTGCAGAAGTTCCCTCAGTGTGCTGAAGCTCTTCTTGGCTCCGCTCAGGGTGTACTCTCCTGACTCCAGCTTCAGGATCTGACAGTGTTTGTAGTCCACCATACTCTCATACTGACCACAGAGAAAGTAGTAAAAAAAAAGGGGGGTGTTAATGATGTAGTGGTGACAGGCCCATAAATGTCTAAAGTTGATCTAAAAGGACATAAAGCCAGGTGAACTCGTTACCCCGACGACAAAAGACATGAAGTATTTGTAGTAGTCCCTGGAGCTGCAGCGAAGGATGTACAGACCCTGGTGATTACCAGAGCGACGCAGCTTATGTATTGTGAACTCCATCCTGGGATTAAACAAAACAACATTCTTTTTGTATTTTGTTTTTGATACATGTTTTTAATACATATTTATTATAAAATACTGTTTTTAATCTAACTTATTATACTGTAAGTTTAGCCTTAATTCTGAGGATTTTTGTATGTATATATTCAGGATTTCTGTATATACTGTACATTCAGGATTTTTGTATATATATTCAGGATTTTTGTATATATATATTCAGGATTTCTGTATATACTGTACATTCAGGATTTTTGTATATATATTCAGGATTTTTGTATATATATATTCAGACTTTTTGTATATATATTTAAAGATGAATTACCTGAACGGCATGCCATGATATATATCTATCTATATACATATACATATATATACAGTATATATAGTGTGTGTGTGTATATATATAAATATATATAAATTTATAAATATTATATTAGTATTCACTACATGACATGAGATACTTACGACACAGGGCCGTAGAAGTAGCTTTGAATACACTCCAGGAGTCTAGGGGGCGCCACCTCTTTACACAGGTAATGATGGGCATCTGCGACCAGTCTGTAGTAACCATCAACCAAAGACACGAATGACAGAGCCTCCGATGGAGAGTGGAACTCCAGCTCCTTATAGAAGATGATGTAGAACATAAATAAAAAAAAACAATATAAAATATTTTCTACTTGAGGAAGTAAAAAAAACCATTACAACAACAACTAATTTCAAGAGAGTAGTGCTCAATGCTTTACCAGGACTTTTCCGTCCTGTTTGGACAGAGTAACGATGCGACTGTCGGCAGAGCCTTCTTTGTTGGACTGTTTAATGCTGATGTCAATCACCTCCGGGAAGTCGCAGTATGTTTGAAGCTCCTGGAAATAAAGCACAAGTAATAATAATAATAATAACAGAACAGAACAAGGTTTCTTCGGCCACAGCAAATATTTTAAATTAGAAAAAAAGTCCTACATAGCTGCAAGTCTCTCTGGTCTGTTTTTTTAGTTTGAACCAAGGCATTGGACAGCTTTTACCCTGGGTTTCACCTGATGATGTGTGCTCTAAAAATAGTACAACCACTGCCTCACCGTGCTGGTATCGGTGGATATTGGAATTGGAAATTGAGTGTTTAGACAATATCGGCATATCGGATGAGTAAATAAATAGTTAATTATTGGACATCCCTAGTTTTCAGACCAGTTCAGTGAATTGGTCTGAATTTCACAGTGTCTGGGAATCACTGTTTTAACACATATTAACATATTTGTAGGGATGCTCTATCCAATACTCAGGATCGGTATTGGTTGTCAAAAATTCAGAATCGAAATACGATCTGATATGTTTCATAAAAGATCAATATTTTAGCTCTTTTTCAAGCTAATTTAAAGCCTTTTCTCTCAGCTCACTTTGTTATTTTACTACTGAGATATTTTTTTACCTACGTTTACCTATTTCCTGGCTCAATTTGAGTCGTTTTATACTCCTTTAACATGAGACCATTTTTTATGATTTACTTTTCAATTGCAATTGGAAATTAAATTACCTTTACCTTTATATTCTTGAATGTTTTGATAATTCATTTGAAAGCACTTTTTTTATCCTTAAATAGTCATTGTCTGATGTATACTATTGAACCAGCAAAATGGAGATAGATTTTAATTGAGAATTTTTAAAATGATTTAAACTTTTGCACCTTAAATGTAAAAGGTACAGATTTAATATTAGTGTTTATAATGCAGTGATACCAATATGGTATCACCCATGTACTGGGTCAAAAACATGAGCCTCCTTGTGCAGGATTTCCAACTGAACTCCTGTAGCTCCATCTGTTGGTAAAAAACAGCCATGGCTGCATCAACAGCGTGACTGTGTCGGTCTTGAACTCACCTCCTTCCCTCCGTCCTCTTCTATCCTTTTCAACCACTGGATCCCTTTGTTACCCGAGACCACGATGGTCTCCTCATGTGCGGAGAGGTCAGTGACTTGAAAGCGCTCAGAGTAGAGGGAGGGCAGCAGTCCCTCCAGGTTCATCAGGTACTTGAGCTTCAGGTTGGACACAGAGGCCTTGCACTCGTTGAACTGTTGGATGAATCTCTTGAAGCGATAGCGGATCCTCTTCCTGGTCACGATGTTGTATTCCTGGATGTGGCTTCGCATGCACTTAGGCAAAAAGGACTTGTAGCTTGAATGGAACATAAAAAGAACAGAAAACAGTAGGTCAGAACCAAGTCAGAATTGTTAAAGGGATGTTTTCAACACATCGTCAGCTGGACCAAAAATCTGTTGTCAGGCTGGAGATAAAAAATTAAATTAGTTATATTTCTAAAAAGTTTTAAAACAACAGCAACAATAAAATACAGGGGGGGGGCTTCATTTCGACATCCTCGATCGACTTCCATAAATTTATTTCTTTTATTTAGTTCTGTTCATTCATTCTGAGGTACGGCATGAAAACAAATTTAGTATGGGAACTATCTGGCGTGTGGTGGAATAATGACGGCTTTGTTTACATCCGTCAATTGTAAGCCAAACGTTGTGATGTGCCACATTCACTTTCTTGTGTGGTTGGGAACCTTTTGCCCCTCATTATGGCTCCCAGGCGTTAGTCAGACTCTGTTGATGTTTTTATGTCCTAGTCAGGGGCCACATCAGCAGTACAGTTCCCCTTGAAGAGCCGGTTGTAAATGAAGACTGTATAAATCAGGGGTGTTCAACCCCCGGTCTGTGGACCAGTACCAGTCCATAGGTTATTTGGTACCGGGCTGCAGTGGGACACAGTGAAAAAAATTCCTTAATTTTTACTAATTTACTTCATTCAAAGAAAATCCAGTCATATGCATTTACTTTCTTTCTTTAAAAATAATCTGGTAATATTTTTAAGTAAAAGTCATTCAGACTCTGATCCAAACAGAATAGAGTCTAAAAGATGTTTTATTTTGAAAATGTAATGATCCTTCAATGCTCAGCACCTTTGTACTGGTCTGTAGTAACAGGTGGTACTGGCTGACCAGTCCTTGGAACAGAAAAGGTCAGGGACCACTGGGATAGACGGAACTACTCCATAACAGACTAATACATGTTTCTGCAATTGATTATTATTTATTCAAGCTACAAGTATTGTTCATTGCTGTGTAATAAAAAAATGTAATTTCATAGGTTAAGAAACTCTGCTACATGGATTTTACTAAATGCTTTTTAAGCTCCTGCAGGCCACAGAAAACAGCTTGGCGGGCCATATTTGGTCCCCGGGCCTTGAGTTTGACATGTGTGTCCTAGATTGTGATGTCGCTACTGTGCTAGCGTAGATAATAATAATGACATACGTACTCATGTTCAGTATGTGAGTTCCGATTTACAGCAAAATTTGAATTCTGTCGCCCTGTACGAACGGTTCTCTACTTTTTTTAACAAACTGAAAATTGGACACGGAGCTCAACAGTGTTCTGGACTCAACTTTTTCGGCGTCTGTCGCAGGCCTCAGTCTCTCGACTTGTTTATGTCGAACAAATAGGATTAAATGCCCGAGTAAAAACACTGACAAACCGTTCTCTGTAATTCTGATTGTATGTCACATTTCAAACAGACTCTCCACACACACACACACACACACACACAGATCTTCCTTTGTGAAGTCCTTGCATTGAAGTGAGATATTAAAACAGAACATGTTCTCAGGCAACACAGATGTCAGGGTCACTCTGGTCAAACACACATTTCCAGCTTCAGTAACGGTGAATCTCCACTGTTCTTACCATAGGCCGCAGCTCAAACAAATAATGTTAATGATGCCATTAGATATAAAGGAGTTATTGTCAATTCAAGTCTGGCCCCCGGTGCCAGAGCTAACCACAGATCAGATATTACAGACACAGTTGTAACTCAGGAGTTATCTCACACAGAGACAGGATTCATTCAGCCGCCTGAGCCCACGTAATGAAACTATTGTAATGCTGGGCTCAGAATCCAGAGGAGACAGTGTCGTTGCTGTGAAAATCCATATTCACACACTGTCACCACAGCTGGATGGGAAAGTCAGATTTACATCAGAAACAGTTTGGCCTCACATGAAGGTGTTGTTGTTTTAGGATTGTCTTCACACCCTACCTGGCGTCATTATAGATGTCCACAGGTGATTGGTTGCTCTCTTTGGCCAGTCTCATCATGTCCAGCGCTGCCATCCCCAGACATTCCTCCTGGGAGTCGTGGCTCACTGGTATTTGAACCCAGCCGTTGAGAAAATCACTACGCCACTAAAAAAAAAAAAAAAAACAAGAGAAAAAACATGAGAACCATGGTTTAGAGAGATTGGAATGAATGGAGGTGTGTGGACTGTGTGGAAACAAGATGTGGAGTATGCAGGATGGAGCTGATGAGACCTGAGCAGATCACATAGATGAGAGATGTTGTTTTCTCACCCTGCTTCTCTGCCCCAGTTTTTTTAAAATCCAAAGTTCATTCAGTTTGAAACTAATGGGACTAGAGAGACCTGTTTTTGGTCTGTTATAATTTAAATGTCCGCTCTGCCAAAAACATAATTAAAACCGTTTAGTTAATGAATAAAGAACCATGACACCCACTCTTATTTTGAATGATCCAATAATGACTTCATGATCTAGCTCTTCCGTCTTTAGGAGGCTCACAGCAGGTTCAGAAAGTTTACTCTGGCACAGCGAACTGAACACTTCATGTTCACTTCATGTAGTTGACATAAAAAGAATTGTTAAATGGTTTCACTACAGCCTTTGTTAACAGCCCCCATTTCCTGTTTTCTCAACTCAGAAAGACAAAGTGGTCGCAGTAGAGACAGAGACAGAGTCAGAGGTAGAGGAAAGGAAACAAGCTCGTCCTCAGGTTACTGACATTTAAGAAATACTAAATACCCGACTTGAAGATCCTGCATTTCTGGTCTTGACTCATAGTTCTATTACAATGTAGTAATGCAGGAAGGTGACAGCACCAACCTGAGAGAACAGGTAGGCCATCACACAGTCGTCTATCACAGGAGCCTCCATGCCTTTGGACACGCCGTAGCGATGGGCGTGAAAGGAAGTGCTGCTGTTGTACCAGCCAGGAAAATAATATCTGGATAAAAACAGCACACAGGAGGTGATGATTCAACCAAGGACAAGTGGAAATATATAAGTATGATGTAAGAAAATAAATTCTACCTGATTCTGAAGTGAAGGTTCTCACTGTCTGACTGGTTGAGCTTGAAGATGTGGTTGGGTGGAAACCACGTCCGGTCACTTTCCCTCATGAGCCCAAACATGTTGAAGTAAACCGGGGCGATCCCTTCACAGACAAAAAGTAAGAAAATATAAAAATTAAATAACTTTCCACCAATCAAGACTCGTGGTTATGGTCAGCTATACAGTGGTTGTTGTATGATTTGGACCAGTATTTGATACAGTAGAAAAGCATGTTGACTGGAGTACATCTTTATTAAAAAAAAACAAAGATTTCATTTTTTGGTAATTTTTCGACAAAGATGAATTTCATTGTATTTGGGTGTCTGCCCACCAAGATGTGTGTCCAGAAAAATTCTCCCCCTCCATCCAATATAGTCGCTGACCCCTGGTTTGGAATAAGGACACCCTGTGTGTAGGACAGAGGTGTGGTCCAACTACTGAAGTTTTGGACAGCTAAAGGTTACCCAAAAGTGAGTATAGTTTGCCATGAAGAAACTATAACTAAGCTCAAAGATAATCACAGCCTTTGATCAAATCTTCCTAAGGAGGATTTTCTTTTTTTTTTTTTGCATTTTATTTCCTAAAAGAATAGGCCATCTCAAAACAAAGACACCAGGTCAGTATTTCTGTATAAACATTGTTGTGGATAACTTTCTGTTTACACACACACACACACAGCTTCTGTTATGGCTCCACTCTAGAATGCAACTGTAAGTGTACAGCAATGGTCCACCATTCAGCTCCATCGCTCTCTAGGCATGCAAATCTAAAAGAACCTTTTTTTTTTTTTTTTTTTTGCATGTTTGTTTGTTGAAGCAAACCAGTGAACCCAAATGACCGTCTAAACGCAGGGAATTTTCCCATGACCATAAACCCTTCTGTGGGAACTCAAATTCTGCCAGAACCTCATGACCAATAGTAGCACTAGGTATGAATCAGCTGGTCAATTTTTGGGCCTCAAAAAAAAAAAAAAAAAAAGTCATGCAATGTCACACAGCATGAAGCACGACTGTGTGGCGTGGGTATGAGAGTGCAAAGGGAAGTTAGTCAGCCGCAGTGGAGGAAGTGCTTTTACGGCTGTGCTACAAACAAGCCTTCACTTGTTCCGTGTATAGGTGTTCCAAAAAATAATATGAGCCATGAGCTGCAGGGAAACACGCCACTGATGTAACTATGATTCAGGTATACCAGGACTGATCATTTGGAATTCACCGAGGCCAGACTATGAAAATGTACTGGGTATCTGCCCATTAATAGATTATTAATAACTTTCCTCAATAGATCCTTAAAGTTCAATCATTAGTGGTGGAACTCAGACTGACATAATACAACAGATGTTTAGGTTTTTATTTTAACACTGAAATCCGTGTCAAAAAAATAAATGTCAAATCAATCAATCATGTAAATATATGTCTTTTTGTATACCACACAGAGATGATTTTAAATAAAGTGCTTGTTTTTTTTTCAATTTAACTAATAACTTACTACTGTATGGTTCATGGCGTTGGATTCACCTCAGTGTTTCTGTAACTTGCTTGTTGAGTGTGTACTGTGTTTTGTATCGAGCGAAAGAATGAACATTCAACACTTTTTAGGCTTGGAGCTAATATTTAAATGACCAACATTAAAATATATTTGCTAATATAAAGCCAACATATTTTATATACACATTTTATGTTCAGGTACTGATTAAATGCACGTAGCTCTGGGCACAATTTGATTAGATTCTCACTAGTACACACTAGGATTATACATACATACATATATAAATATATAAAATATATATATACAGTATAATATATATATTCTGAGGGTTTTGATTGGCTAAATAAATACTGAAGAAGCCGTTCTTGTTAAAAACACATGGACCAAACAACAACAATATTTAATTGTTACAGGTTTGGCTAGGGATAGGATAGTGCCTGGGTCATTTCCTGGACCAAAGTCCACTTTGGACTTTGGTCCAAAGTAGGACCTCGTATTTTCTTAAGGTTTGATACTCATAATTAGTCATCTTTTCTGGTTAACTGTTTCTTGGTTCATTCATTGTGGTGATTC